GCTTTCTTCTCTAGACTTTATGCCCATGCAGCCAGACACGGGCCTGGATCTCCGCTTCGTCACTTATCTACCACCTAGTTTGTAAATTGTTGGGAGGAGGAGAAGATTGTGGAAATGCACAAATCTACTTATATGTTAAGTAAGGAGTAAAAAAGTGCAGTTGTCATTACTGGGTCTCCCATAGGAGAAGGTCTTGTCATGGGGCATTCCACCAGCCTCTCTCATGCATTTTCGGTGTAAGCTACCAAGTTGGGATGAGTCAGGTTTGGTGTGGAAGAAGGTGGTGTCTCCTTTCTGGTGGCTGATGAATAGGTCTTGGGTAGCAGTTTCCGCTGTCCCACTGATCTACCAAAATACTTCTCTTCCACCGATCCGCAATTCTGCGCCGACCCGCCAAGAAGGAGGGGAGGAGGTTGCCCTGCTTTCTCACAGGTGGGCAAGAAATATGACCTCAGATGTCTTTCCACTTTGCAGGCTGCGGTAGCATAAACATACAACAGGCATTCCTTTCACCTTAGACTGTCTTCCATCATCTAGTGAAGTAGAAGGGTGCCATTTTGACTTGTGAATGTGTTGCGCATCCAACTAAGTTAGTTTCGGACGTGGAGCACCTGTTTACCCATAAGTCTGTAAATGCGCCCATAGTGGTAGCAACTTTAGTCTAAGAATTAAGCTATCCTTGTTTGGCAAAGCAGTGGCATTTGCTGCCTTGACAATGAGGAGGTGGGTTGTCGAAACACAGAACAGTTCGATGCGCCCATGTCTGCCTTTAAACCTGCCAAATCAAAGCAGAAAAGGTAACATTCGCAACAATTTCGTAGCATGTTAAGCACAAGGGCACTGATAGATGGCAAATACACCCATTTCCATGGATTACGCACCCCAAGCAGCATTCTGCATCTCGTCCATTTATAAAACACCACCTACATCTGCCAGTTCAATTATTCTCCAGTCTATTTCCGATATCCTGTCCATTCCCACTGCGGCTAGTGCTAACACCTCTTCACAGAATAGAATGGATTTGTCTGTATTTCTTCCCTGCTTTTAAAATAAGTAGAAAAATACGTAAATATGGCATATTTTTAGCCCCAAAACTCCATCGAATCGGGCTAACTCAACTCAGTGGGGAGAGGCGAAGAGGTGATCGGTTGGGCGGTTTGAGGGAAATTTCGCAAGTCTATGTCGAAACGGCCTCTGTCACGCAAACTCCTACCATAATTAGGCGCAAGTTAACCAAAAGTGGAACCTGCAAGCCACTAGGTTCTTTTAAACAACTTGATCAACTCAGCTGGCATTTGGCCATGCTAGATAGCAATGTCTCAGAGGTGGATGTTTTGCGCGCCAAAAGTTCTGCGTTTTTGAGATTAAACACTTTAAGCTGTTATTCAAATCCCTGAATGCAAATAAAAATCACTAGATAATACGCTGACTCCTGTGTGCTAAAATGGGGAAGCATTCTTCCCTCGAGTCCACCTTCTGGAATTTGACTGAATCGTTTGCGAAATCGTGGGACTTATTCAATACAAACGGTTCTCTCTTCATCCGGTAAACATTGCCGTGTTCATAGCGGTCACAGATTGTAGGTCAAAATTCACAATTTGAGCGCCCGATTGGATCTTGAACGTGCCTCCCCTTCGGCCTGGTCGGCTTCTACAACTACCTTAGCCGCCTCACCTGATTGGTTCACTGCTCCGGCATTATTAACGTGTCCATTTGACGGGCGCTTTACATCTAAGAAGTGATCGCGGTTTGGATAAGAGCTAGTCCGCCAAGACGATGATGTATATATAGTAATTGCTTGTCACTTTTTAATTAACAGTTATTGTTTTAGTGGTATTTTAGCTATTTTTGTCTCAATGCAAAAAAGACATTCTCTGGACTCTTTGGCCAAATGTTGGATAATTTATCAGGCCATTTGTTGATCCAACGAGTGGGCATATCTTATTCATGACTGCTTGGGTAGTTCGGTCACTGATGCCACAACAATCCAAGGAAGCACCTACCTGTGATGACCCAATTTACGCTAGAAACATTTTGCTGGCACTCTCTTCAGTAGGTTAATTTTTAGCCATAGCAACCGTGCGGTTCATAGTGGATAGGCTAAATCTTTCTACCACCCACACTGATTGACTAGTCTTGACTGCTGTGGAAAGAGAGGTTATTCTTTCCTTCCACGACCTCCTGCTGCATCTAGCGTACACACACGCACACACCGAGAAAGACATGGCTTAGTCATCAGGAATTGTGTGGTGTCATAGACGTTTGCTGTTATGGGCGAATCGCCTGTAGCTAACCGATGTTGCGTATGGTAATTGAAGGAATGCTGTGAGAAAGCACATACCAAATGTCATTACAGGTCGACCAGCTGAAGAAGAAATGTGAGTGATACGAAGAGTTGATTGGAGGCCTTGCAGGCACTGTCAGTCACTTTTCTGTCCAACGTGGCACATTCGACATATGGTCCACGATAAAAGTGCCGAGGTGATTCTGAAGTTTCACTTGACTTGTAAAGCAGTAGGAGTTGTAATGCTTTCTGCTATCATTCTACTCTTTTCCTGACTGCAGTGCAGCAGTTGATTATGGCGTCAATCCTCAAAACATCTTTATGTCATGAAAAGTGGAGGGAGACCATTAGATGAGTTTTCGCACTCCTCGCTATTTCATGAGCTATCCTGTGATAATTAGAAGGAACAGAATTCCCAATCTTCATGACATCGGTTGAGGTGTGGATGATGAAATGACATGCAGCAGACCGCTGCTAGTTTAAGCAACTCCCATGTCTTCCAGAATCGGTGTTCGGTCCTGGCGATTTCGGTTGCCACCTTGTTCTTAAGAAGTCTCGTCCATAGCCTTCAACTTCTATCCACGACATACATCCATGTGTGCGTGTACTCTACGCTAATTGCCTTGAGCCGTCTCCATAGGTACCTCGCAACATCGCCAATGCAGATTGTGGCCATCGTTCTTAAATGTGAGGATTCCATGTATAAAACCGAGTGACTCAATGTACATGTGCTTCAGTTGACATGGTGGAGTGACTGGAACTGAAGTCTTCTTAGAAACTGCTCCCAGTCATCGTCTCAACTGTGATCTTACCTACCGTGTCTAAGTGAAGGTTACCCCTAAAGAGAAAAGCTGTTTAGTTTGCAAGGGAGAATGCCA